GATTGTGAGATGAGCACAAAGATGTTACGTTATTATATGCATAAATAAAAATGAAATATGCCGCAAGCATCAGTTCAATAAACAATAACAAAAGAACAATGGATCTAGAGCTGTGTAATAATTTACAATAACAGTATATTATGCATAATTACAAGCAACTAACCTTAAACCAAACCCTAACCCTAATTATATGTTGATAATTAATATTACTCAGTGCTTAAATGTATGAACACTGAAACAGGGGCACTTTAAAATAAAGCCTAACCCAAAGTAGTTTTGCCACCTGGAAAAATTGAGCAAACAACATTATTGAAGTACAAAAATAAGACAAAACAAATATTACTAAATATAGAACCAAATACTGCATAAATAAACTTGGATGCAACTTGGTTTTAGCAACAACAACAAAAAATGTTATGATAGGCAAGCATATAAATGTGAAAAACGGATATCACAGTATTAGCGACATCCTGTTTCGTTAACCCGGAAAATGTGTAATTTTTAAATAGAGCCAGACCAATATATCGGCAGGCCGATATTATCGGCCGATATTAGGCATTTTCCAAACTATCGGTATCTGCAGTTATAATGGCCGATAAATGAATATTTCAACAATAAAATTAAAATGGACGAAACACGCTTGAACCATGTCATGAGTGTTGGAGTTGTATAGTTTGTCCACCAGAGGGCACTCTACACCGTTCCTGTTGGCAACACTCGTTGAGTTGGTCACGATACATACATTGCTTGAATAACAATTAAAAGAACATCCCCATCAGTTCTCTAAACTCAAATAAGCATGACAAAATTTGTGACTATCATGTCCAGTTTAAAAAAATAAAATAAAAAATATCGGCCGATATATCGGAATATCGGATTTTAAAACCCAAAAATATTTGTATCGGTATCGGCCTTCAAAAACCTTTATCGGTCGGGCTCTATTATCAAACATGAAAAAAAGATACAAAGCACTGAGCTGCACTATCCCCCAACACCCCCACACCAGACAGCCTCCACAACTCCAGTGACTGAACCACAAGAGAGAGGCTGAATCAGAATCTACCTATCAGAAACAGTCAGGGCTATACTATTTCCATCTATGAGGTCTTCTTAGGTGGCAATATACGTTTATAAATAGAAATGATAATAAATGCAACAATTATGGAGTGTTAGCGAGCTTTAATTTACCCAAGGCTAATTTGAAAGCACAGAAGGGTCGATGACACCTACATAAAACGCCTCTTTCACCAGTTTGCAGCGCTATGAATGTGTGTCAATCAATACGCGCTAAGTTTGCTGTGCATGGCCTGCTCTGTAGTGGGCTGATGAACAACTGCTCCCCATGCACAAAAGTCATGCTATTTAATCTTATTACAATTCAATAACTATGCAACAATCACTGCTCTCCTTTTGAAAGCAAACGTTCACATTTCAGCAGCAAAACCAAGCCTTGTGAAGAGAAATCTGGTTGTATAGTGAAGTCCATCCAAAAATGTAAATATTTCACCATTCATGCATTTTTTATCCATACAATGAATGTGAATGGTTTCTAAATTGAAACGCACTTTGTGTTCTGGCAAGAAAAGAAAGCCATACAGGTTTGGTATAAAGTGAGGTTGAACCCTATAAATACTATTAATTTCTAAGGCCTCTAAACAGTCACGATCAAAACTGTTGGACACATACTACTACTACTGCACATGCCCTCTGCCCTCTGATTGATTTTTCATACCTGATTCATGTCCAACTTCAGGACATGTGACTTTTTGCTGTGAAAACTTTAATACTTTTTATAGAACGCAAACGCAACAATAATTGTCGTTAGCAATACTTTAAGATAACCAGTTACTGGACTGAAGGAACCTAGGCGTACTTGTTAATACATGCATCTTTTTTTTTTAATCGTGTTAAAATGTATGCATAATATGTATTTATTTATGATTAACACCATATCAGCAGCAATGGCTGGCAATCAACAGTATTTCAATAATTAAAAATAAAGAATTATGATAACAATATCACTTCAATACATTGTTTACAATAATTTAACAATTTCGTCTTAAAAAAACAATTAACAAAAACATGCAAATATACCAATAACAACAACAGTAATAACAAAAATAACGTATAATCTTTCAATTTAAAATATGATAGAAATTCTACAATTATTCAATGAGAAACCTTTAAAAATGTCTCTATGCATAAAATCCGAAGGAAAGTTTATCTCTCGATCATCATTGAATTGCGTTGCGTTGTGTTTTGTCCCAAGCTTAAAAATACAGAGCTTTGGTCATAAAACTAGCATTTATACATATCTATGTTATTAAAACTAGTATTTATACATATATATCATATACAATCTTATTAAGACAATATTGACAGCTGGAGAGTGACATCTAATATTTATTTTATGCAAGTAGCCTGATGTAATGAAAATCTAATTTAATATACAACAAGCTAAAGGACAATGAGCTTGTTTTTGGCCATATAAATAACATATGCACCAAATTGCATGTTATTGCTCAGTTTGGACTTCCAGATAAAATGTAGGTGTTTTTTCCCTTCTGGAGTGTGAGCTCTATCATAGTAGGCCATAAAAGCTTGATGTATTTGATGGAAAATATGCAAACCGTTTTGTCTAAAAGTTAAACAAAATGTTCCATCTTTAAAAAATTGATTTTGACAATTATTTCAGATGCTAGGGGGGTCGTGCCTGCATTGTGGAAGTAGCCTACTAACTGTGTCATATGTCAAATCAACATCAAAACAGGGTAACCTGACTGAAACACCTCTGTTAAAGCCTTAAATGTAGCCTTAGATACACGGGAACCAGAAAGCCCGTGGGTTTCCTCTCGTCCTGATGGTGTGAGCCGTGACATGTAAGCAGAACTGAAGGCACAACTGAGAGGATTGCTGGGTTACTCATCAAACTCAGCGCACGTACATGGTCGCCCACGACTCGACTATCCATCTACTCTGCGTCTATAAGGCCTATTCTGCGCGCGTTCACACAGAGAGGTGTTAAAATGAGTTTTAGTAACATTCAACCCCACTGTTTGCTGCAACAGGAAACGTCGAGGCCTTTTCTGAAAGTTGAGGAAGTGCGAGTGTAACGTTAGTGATGAGCAGGAATTTCTCGCCCTGGGTGCGACAGACTTTTCGGTCGGACAGTGGAGAGGAAAATAATGAAGAGTGCTCGTTTACATCCATGCAGTGTTATAATAACCTGTCGTAGTAAATGCTTGTTATTGTAGAGAATGAATATGACCAGCCGCAGCGAGCACTGCAAAATATATCTCAGTCACACAACTTGAGTCCTCAAACAACAAGATAACATCAGATCGCGGCAGACAACACGAGCAGTTAAAGCAACTATGCCGCACTCCCACGCATAACTTCAAGATTTCAGTTGCAATTGCTTTTCTAGGCTGTACAAGAAGGGCTGTGGATTTATGGTATAGCGTGCTGGACAGTCACCCCACCCTGGGTGAAGTACACAAGACGTCCAGTGATCATGTTTTTAAAAGCGCTTGTTTCGAGTGCCGATGCATATCCTGTAAGCTACACAGATCACTCAAATAGACTAATAGGTTTCCCAAGACATCCCTTCAGCCTCTGAGGTTTGGTGCGACTGTTCATCATAGGATGGGCTGTGAGAATATGATATCGTGACTTCAAAATTAGAAGTCAGAGCAGCAATTGAACCTGCGCTGAAAACTGCCTCTTACCTGGTCCCCGCCTTGTCGCCCATCTCCGCAGGCCTTTTTCCTTTAATAAGGGGAAGATGCTTTGTAACGGGTATTTAACTAAGCCGAGACTTCGAATAAAGCGTCCCTCCTTTTCTCAATCACTGCCACTCTCGCTGGCGGTTCGCAGGGTAGTTTCCTCAGCCCAGAGACGGAAGCCTCTCGCCCCACTCCGCTCGCTGCCGCTTCAGACACCAAGCGACTGGGCTTTGGCCTCAGAGTTTGATGAGCACCGCGAGTAGCCAATCAAATGCGGAGAAAAATGGAACGTCATCCTCGGGTCACGAAGCACTCCCTCTTTGCCCAAGGGGCTACCACCAATCAGAAATGTCTGTAAGAACGAACGTGTGATGCTTAGTACAGTAAGAGGAAAAACTATAACATATTTACGTTACGTGTCTCATGTGGCGTATCCAAGAGTCTGTCTTTGGAGAAAGTACGAACATTATGTTTGCATTATAACTGACAGGATTTGGAAGGCTTTTGCATTTTCAACTAAATAACAACCGTAAATGTTATCTCTGAAGGGACACCACTGAAAATGAAAAATTATGAGAATAAACAGGAGAGCAACAGACTGTAATGGACTGGGAACCGATAGTTAATTTTCTCCAAGACAAACTAATATAGAGTTCATTTATGACTGCACATGACTCCCATTTAATTTCAGTATGTCACTAATGTCATTATCAAGAAGAAGAAAAATCCCATGATGGCATTATGTAACGTAACCATGAACTCAAACGTGTATACAATAGAGCATTGCGCCATCTAGCGACTTAATGGTACATAAAATACACATATGAATCAGAATCAGGACATTTTAGTTTGTGATAAAATTGAAAATCATGGATTTATAGTCTAACCTTTGATTATTTAAGGACCATGGTAGACCGTATAGCCTGTTTGCCCTGAACTTAACTTCTGAATGCCTTTCTGAGGCCTTTATTATAATTTTTTTTTGCATTTTTTGCTTATTTTGAAAAAAGAACTCTATATAAGCTTCAAACACGTTTGTTTCAAAACATCATGTACTCTTTAGTCTATGCCTTTTATTATCATTGGGTGCCAGGGCAAAATCAATCATTAAACCTTTTATCCTTTAGTTTTAGTTAAGGATCTGTGGCTTATTGTGTACCAAATCATACACCCATTTTTTAATACAATATTCTAGATATTGTTTAGTAATCCACATTCAATAAGGTCCGGTTTCTACCTCATGTTCTTGGTCTAAATACAGTCATACAAAACAAATAAAAATGTTTCAATTTAATTGCAAACTTCAAACATATAAAATGAAAATCATAGATACAGATAAGTGCAGATTTATCATCAGCATTGTTTCTTACTTTATATTCAACAAAAATAAGGATCAGACTAGGAATGCACCATATTGTGACCATTTTGGACAGTATTATCCCCCCCCCCCCCCCCCCCCCAATACTAACATTATACTTTTTATGCCATATTTCAATAGTGCTAAGTTCTCGTCTGCTTCACATTGTAACATTTTGACCACATTTTACAAAATTCAGTATTTCTATTTTGGTACATTCCTAGATCACACAACAGTTAATATACAAGAAAGATGATATAAATATCTTTCCTATATCGATCTTGTATGTGCTAATATCATATAGTATAGTAAACAACATATAGCACACACCCCTGCAACAGGACTAACTGACGTGCTGGTGGCAATTGCTCTTTTGCACTGATTTTTTTCCTAAACTGGACAAGGAAGAGAAAGCTTGGTTCAGCATGAAATGTCTGATATCGGTGCACAGTGTACAAAACTGTGACACATTTCCACATGCAACATATTACAATCATAAACAATATCTACTCAGTGTCAACCATATACAAAGCTACACACTCAGGAACCTCTTAAACAAAAAGAAAAATATAGGACAGGGATTTACATATACAGAAAGAGTATTACTTGTTTAAATGCCTTTTGTTATACAATTGGTAAAAATGATAAAAACATGGGCTAGGAAGACACTGGGCTACCATGATGAAGTGAGAGCTTCATATGTGCACATGCACTCACACACTCACACACACACACACACACACAAAGCTGGAGGTAAGAAACTGTGGTAGTAAGGGTACATTTACACAACAACGACGTACTAAACACGGAAAAGTTTTTCCTTTGTGTTTTTTGCGTACATGCGAAAAACGCATCCCCGTATACATGGATCTGCTAAAACGACCAAAAACACTGTATTATACATGCCAGGCCAGTAGTTGGCGATGTCACTTTGCAAGGAAACACTACGCACGCACCTATAGACTGAACACGTAATACGCATGCGCATGGTGTCAACGTTTTCACAAATTAGTGATTTTGTAGTTTACATGGAGGCAATAACATTTCGTTTTTCTTACCACGACTGTTGTAGTGTTGATGAATGGCCAAAACGCATAATAAGTTTTCCGTTTTTAGGTGAAAACGGTGTTGTGTAAATACCCCTTAGTCTCTCGCCAACAGTACAAAAAAATTCCACCTTCATTAAAACAACATCTGGCTATGAAAGACCACCAGTGTATTCCGTATCTACTGTACTTCAATGGGGGAGAAATAGGTATTATAGTCATAATTAATCAAACACACGAAAATGAGTCTATTCATCATCATCATATTCATCATCATCCTCTTCCTCGTCTTCCTCCTCCTCATCATCTTCATCATCCATATTGCTCTTCGCCATTGGTTTTGGAGCCATACAATTCCCCATCATTCCCATGGCCATGGGCATGGGCATGGACACACCCCCAACCTTGCCTTTCGTCTTGTAGTCTGCAACGTCCTGCACAAAAAAGTAAATATTGTTATATTGTGGTAAAACACTGGAATTGGGATATGTTGCATGGTGGAAAACTATAAAAGCATCTAGATGGAGACGTGCCTTTTGATACTTGTCCTTCAGCTTGTTGGCCTTTATCAGGTAGGGTTGCTTGTTGGAATCTGTGAGGCTGTTCCACTGTTCTCCCAGTTTTTTGGCCACATCTCCAATACCCAGGCTGGGATACTGAGCCTTGATTTGTGGACGATGATCCGAGCAGAATAAGAAAAACCCAGAGCTGATGATCACAAAATAAAATTAGTCATCAAAAATTGAAAGACAATGATTCATGAGCAATGATAACACTTATTTATGGTGTAAATAAAATCAATTAATTTGTTACATTTTAATTGAAAAATAATAATTACACAATAATTAAACACCAGAATATAATAATATATTTGACAGGATAGCAATGATAGCCATATACAGCATCAAATCAACAAAATACCCTTCATAATAACAATTTTTGAAATATTGAGGTAATTCAGTGTGGGATGTCTACTCACGGTGGTCTCTTGGGTGCATTGGGATCCTTCTTTTTGCCTCTCTTTCCTCCAGGCATGTAGTGCATCATCTCTTGATCATATCGCACCTTATCCTGTTTGGCCATGTCGTCGAATCTGGCTTTCTCTTTATCGGACATCGCCTATGCAACAAATCAAGAGAATTTACCACTGCTTTGGTAATATTTGAAAATAATATTAGAAAATCTCATTGCAAATCTAACCTTCCATCTCCCAGAGCATCTTTTGGAGAATTCTGAAAAGCTGACTGGAATCTCAGGGCTTTTCTTCTTGTGCTCCTCACGGCATGTCTGGACGAAGTAGGCATAAGAAGACATCTTGCCCTTGGGCTTCCTGGGGTCCCCTTTTGCCATTTTCGTTAAAGGAGAGGGGCTTAATTCTGCTGCTGTATTTTTTTTTTATCTAAAATAATAGGAACAAAGAGTATTAAGTTTAACACAACATAAAATTAGAATATTACCTTTTCTGCCAGGTGTGGCTATTAATAACTAGTCAAAACACAACACGACTCAGTCCTCACTCATGATTGTGCTTTTGTATTTTAGATGGTACAACATTTCTAAACCCAGTGGGGTGCAGGGCTTATTAAACTAAGATGATACACAAAGGGAATTCCAGACCCGTCCTTCTTTCGTGGGGGATGTGAACTGATTATTAATGAGACTGATTGGTGTTCACGGCCCGTTTTGGGGAAATATAATGCGCCACCACCATATTCTTTTGTGGCTACTGTGCAATAATAATAATTAGCAACACACATTTTATCGATTGTTTTTATTGCAAGCAAAAGTTTGGACGACTCTAGTCTAATGCACATGAATTACCTTCATACACAGTCTAAGTTAGGCTATATGTAGTAGCCTATCAAAGTGGCTACTAAAAACAGAAAGGCCATCAGCTAAAATTATTCAACATCCTTCACATGAATGCATCCTCATGACAGAAAGTGTTCTTTATTTTGATAAATCTTGCATACCTTATTAATATTTTATTTTGAACTCAAGTACTGTTCTTGGTTTAAAACTATGCATTCCAGCGTTCTGCCCGCGTGCAAGCATATAGAGCGGTATATATAGTAACTGGTATAAGCCCTGCCTTGCGCTGCTGTTCTTCATTCATTAAAATGGCTTCTTTGCGGAGCGAGCAAACAGATGGGTTCACCGTGCAACAAAGCAATACACACCCCCTCGGGTTTAAAAGACGATTCCAGCGATTCAGTGTCTTTAATTAAGAGAAAAACATATTCATCAACTAAAACAGATGTAGTACTTTTAGTTTCAAACGGCTGTAAAAGGCTGTCAGATCGTATTTTGTTGTATTTAACTGTTTTTCTAAGTTGAGCCCTAGCTGTCGCTTGGCGCAGTGCTGCCTTAACAAAGACCACTGCCAGCCATTGCCTATGCGATTATATCCAGCGCAACTGTCAAGCTGGAAAAGATGATAAATCACAATATAATGTCTTTATTTCAATGCAGAGGGTTAGAGATAGCCATTTGAGGGCGAAAGCGAAAAGAATGCGTAATTTGAAGGTAAAATATACGTTTTCTGTCTAAAAAAATATCCCGTCCTTGCTTCGTGAAGGAATAGCTGCTCGTCAATGGTCTCAATCGCCAGCCATTTTAATACACGGCAAGCGCGTTTGTTTAAGTTGGAAAGGGAAAACTGCAACAACATGTTTCCAGCGCGCATAAAGATTCGTATTTTACATCGGAAGATAGAGAGTAAAGAATCATTGCATAAGCGAAGGACCTCGCGGACAAAATATTACATTACGTGGAGATGTCATCGAAATCGGTATGTATAGAAGAAGGCAGGGTGGTTCATAGACAGGACAGAGCGAGCCATATTCAGCAGCGCATCGCGTGAAGAAAACAGTCCGAGAAAAATCAGTAGGCTATAATAACTTTTAACTTTACAGTGAAAAGAAAAGAAAACACCATCAGTGATATTGACAGTAATACATATCTGATAAATTAGGTTTGACCTCTATTAAAAACATTTTTATTTTATTTCCACACATTTCTGTGATTTATTAGAAAGACAAAAATTGGCAAACAAACTGCAAATATACACAACTCCTTGACCTTCACAAATGAACAAATTTATATACATTTAAAAAAAATCAAATTTCTTCTGCTTTAAATAAATAAATGTTAGTTTCACATTCTATTTGTATAAATGTGTATAAAATGAAATATTTAGCTAAATATGAAAGAAGTAAGTTGTGTTAAATATTAGACAGTTTTCCGTACCTGTGTTGTTGAGTTGATTGAAATCTCGCCACTGTCTTCCCTTCTCTCTCCTCTTTAAACCCCATGCACTCAGCCTCGCGCTAGCTCAACACGAGACCGGTCTGATTGGCTAGGCAGTCTCGCCGATTCAAAACAACCTCCATTCCTCGCCATTGGGCCGCGCTACATGCACATCTAGCGGCTCTTCTTCCAGATTGGTCCTGTCGTGTGTTTTCGTATGCCCAGCCTCTTTACTTTTGAGGATGCTTCAATATAGCTTACATAGAAAAAACTCTGGGCTTAAGTTTGTACATTTTCATGTTAAAGTTAAGGTTTATCGACATGTATTTAGATGATTAGTGAGCTTGAAATGAATAAACATCACGTTCTCGTACTTTCCATCTTTGGCTCTTGATTTTTTATTTCTTTTATTTCTGCTTTAAATCTACCGTAATTCTGGTTTCCACCAAAATATCATCAAATTAGTCTACTTAAAAAATAATGGATTATAGTCCTGCAAGGATCTGGACCAAAATGCTTTGCACAGCTGTAGATATAATGTCAAAATAACAATAAATTACTTAATAATTACATTCATGAATCATTTTGAAAATGAACACATCATGTGCATAAAATCGACAACCATGTAGGCCTAGGCCTAGAACAAACCAGGCTGAAATCGGGTGTTTGGTAGTGCCACAAGTATGGGATCAATAACACGTTTTTCTCACATCTTTGTATATTGCACACATTCTGTTCTATAGCCTATCAATTTTGCATCTGCAGTGGCAGATGTGGGGACACTGCAGGCTTCTTAGCTGAAGGTCCCCTTTTTTATATAAATAAAGATATTTTGGGGGAATGCTTGAACTCGTATATGGTCACACTTTAGATCACACTACAAGATTAGGGTCCAATTCTCACTATCAACGACTTTTGCCTCAATAAACTAGTTAAGTGCTAGTTAATAGTGAGAATAGGACCTATTATACATAAAGCAGCCTACAAGAGCAAAGCATTTTGGGATGCACCTGGGATAATCTTGTCCTGTTATGGGTCCATGTGTACATTCTTTGCTATATTTATAAGCAGTCCTGGGTAGATTACTTACAAATAACTTACAAATCAGTTACTGATTCCAAAATTGTAGTTAGTAAGGTAATCCAGATTACTCATTTTAGGTAGGCTAATATATTCAGACTACTTTTTGATTACTTTTTTCGACTATACTTTTAACATAACTTGTTTATCACACTGATTTGGATAGGGTAATCTTGTATCATTTTGATATAGAAATATAAAGACATAAAATATATTCCATTATTTGTTTTCAACAACATAAAGTGTATTAATATTACATTACATCAGGGTTTCCCAGACTGGTTTTAGTAAGTTTACTGTTTTTCTGAATTGCTAAAACTCTAAACTTGACACACTCATAAAACACATGTATCACTGTGATACTTTTGTATCGCAAAACAGTAACCACACGACGCAAAAGTTAAACACAACTACTTTTATTACATTTAAAAGAGAAGAAAAGAAGAGAAAGTGTAAAGAACCAAATCGCTTACCACAGCTATGCAGACAACACAGCTCTACTTAGCCCTACACTGTAAAAAAATATTTTCAAGATTTGTTATCACAACATATTTTCTTTTGTCAAATCAACTTTATAATAATTTATTTAGTTGAGATGATTAAATTAATTGTATTAACTCACTTTCCACTTTCCAGTTCAATCAACTTAAAATTTTAACGCAACCAAGGTTTACTTACTTTTTTAAGTTAAACCAACAATATTTTTATAGTGTAGTAATCACAACATTTTTTCTTTTGTCAAATTAACTTAAATAATTTATTTAGTTCAGATAACATATAATTTTGAGTTTCTGATTATTAAATCATTCTCCTTCATTGTATTAACTCACTTTTTCCAGTTCAATGAACTTAAATTTTTAAGGCAACCAGGTTACTTACTTTTTTAAGTTAAACCATCAAAAAAAAATTTACAGTGTATCTATCGCCTAATGACTACAGCCCTGTTGACTCCCTGTGCCAATGTATTGATGAAGAAAACAGTTGGATGTGCCAAAACTTTCTTCAGTTAATCAAAGACAGAACTGAAGTCAATGCATTTGGAAATAAAGATGAAGTTCTCAAGGTGAATGCATACCTTCAGTCTAGGGGTCAAACAACTAAAAATCAAGTCAGAAATCTTGGTGTGTCTCTAGAGCCAGACCTTAGATTCAGTAGTCACCTAAATCAGCATACTATCACCTGAAAAATATTGCAAGAATTTAGATGCTTTATTGTTTCCAGTCAAGACTTAGAGAAATGTGTGCATGCTTTCATCACCATGGTGGATTATTGTAATGGACTCCTCACTGGCCCTCCTAAAAAGACCATAAGACAGTTGCAGCTCATACAGAACGCTGCTGCCAGGATTCTGAGCAGGACCAGAAAATATGAACATATCACACCAGTCCTCAAGTCTTTACACTGGCTCCCAGTTACATTTTGGATTGATTTTAAAGTATTATTACTGGTATATAAATCATTCAATGGGCTAGGACCTCAATATATTGGAGATATGCTAACTGAATATAAAACAGATCACTTATCATTTGGATCACATCAGCTAGAAAATACCAAGGGTTTACTCAAAGCATGGTGAGTCCGCTTTTAGCTATTTTGCCAGCCGCAGCTGGAACCAACACAATGTTGTCATCCCTGCAGCATTCTATACAGATATTGGGTTAACCTTATAGGTCACGTTCCGTTTTTCTGACTGTTCAAAAATTTAGATTTTTCTCCACTGTGATGCGACTTCCTTAAACTCTTTCAAATCTAAAAATAGTATTTTATTTTATGTTTGCTTTGTAATTTTTTCTTGTTTGCATAAAATGTAGTGCAAAAAGGGGATGTACTCTATATGATCTCTAATGCACCAATTATTATGCACCCATTTTAAATGGGATGTTGTTTCTGCAAGCATACCACAATGAACACTGGATGAGTCAATGTGTCTCTTTTAATTTGGATAACATTTATGTTTTAATGACTTGCTGTACTGCAGAGATGCAACATAAGTGATTTCAACTCTTGAATGAAGTTGACTAGTTATAATCTTTGACAAGTCAATATTCGGAGTTAGCGACTGACAATTAGGCTAACAATACAGTGTCGATATAGCCTACAGCGTTGCACATTCTAGTCACAAATAACAATCCAAAATATAGCCTAACTTTAAACTAAGTGTCTGAAAATAGCAAAATAGATATAGACCTGAAATTACTTCCTACATTTAAGAATCTGCAGGATTTTAACTGAATTTCATTTTTGTCCAAACAGCCTAGTTTTGTTTGTACTTTAGCCTACTGTTAACTGGTGGAGCTTCACCTCTGAATTGCTATTATTTTCCCTTAAAAAAAAGTTCAACTAATTTCTTTATGGTAAAACTTTAATTAGCAAACAATTCCTGGGTGCACATTAACAGATAGGTCTACAGAAACCAGATATCCATGTGTCATCCCACAAAACATAAATTATTAACTGAAGTCAATTGTGCAAGACATTTAATTATTCAGAGATGCACAATTATCCTAATTCAGTCATTCCAATCGAATAGCCAATTGCACGAGAGAAGGTCATCTTATCTCCTCGTGCAGCCCTTCACGAACTGTAAACACACTCTTATCACGCGTATTCAGCCGGTCACAAAGTTCACTTGAGGCTTATTTTCTCATATTCATTTGAAACTAAAAATAAGAAAAATCGTTCGTTTAGATTGTTGTTTTGAAACTGTGGATTTCAGCGTGCGCTCTAAGTAAAAAAGCGGAGCTGAGGTTAAGGAACCGCCCTAAAGCCGGTACTGTAACGTGACCACACGCGGCTGTGAATCTTGTGCTCGCTCTCGCTCATTCGCACTGCAGACTGTCGCAGGGTTTCCTGTTCTAACCCGAGGACCTAGACTACTTTTAAAATTCCCGTTAGGCCTCAAGGACAAAAAGTCACAAATACACCATCTACTGCCAATATTTAATATCATTTCGGACTTTTAACATGTGGAAGAAGCTCTCGACATGGACGCTTCTAGCGGTCTTTTCTCTGCTGATAGTGAAAGGTAAGCGCTGCGCCCCTCTTTGTTGAACCCGGTGCTATGCCTACTTCATCAGTTTTTGTCGGCGGTCGGCGCCGTAGGCAAGCATTGATTTAAAGCATTTAGACTTTGACTTTTATGTAGACTATGCGTTTATTTAAAGCTCTGGGCGCATGAATCACATAAATCACCGTCTTATGAGTTGCGTTTTAACATCTGTCTGGGTCTCGATCATCTGTCTGGGTCTAACGTTAGCCATTGCTTTGAGGCTGCATGACATGTTGAGGCTCAACAAATCATTTTCAGCGGTATACCAAAAATAAAATGTGTGTTTTTGAGTACCTTGTGGTTTATTGAGAGGTGAGACCTTTTAAATCTGTGCGTTAAGCATATTAATGATTATATTAAAAGTGCCAATCTCCTGTAGGCTATGTCATTTTTGTTTCACATTTCGCAAAGATGTAGCTATTTAGGAACATTTAATTTATTACTATTAATAGAATTTGTTCATTATTAAATTATGTAGGCTATAATTACCATGTTTAAACATCAGTCAATCAATCATGTGTCTTGATTATAACGTATTTCATGAATTAACAGCGAATTTTTTTTTAAAAAATGTATCATTATAGTAAATTATGCCATAATTTGTAATATTGTTACAATGTATAGTGTTCTGCATCCCTCGTTTAAAATGAAATGTTAAATGTATCTTTTGTAAAGGCATTAATAATGTTTATTTTATTTTACTAGGCTGAAAAAACCCCAATGCAGTTCAGTACTGTCTAGAATGAAAATATATTCAGAGGACAATGTCATTTTTACATAGTCTCCTCATCCTATAGCACACAGGTACTTTGGGAGGCTTAGAGTCAGAGCGCATGCGCATACGAAGCCACAATGCGCCCAGGTACAGGATAGGAGTTTGGAATTTTTTGAAGACTGCGGAACAGAGGAAGATACCATCATTTTATACAGGGGGTTACGATCCCCTCTGTTAATATGAGACACACACGTTTAATGTCAAAGATTCCAAGCTTGTTTAAGCAAAAACTATGAAAGGAATTATAGGCTATAGCATCTTTTTCTGAGAAAGACTACTTTGAATATTGTTTAAATGCACAGATGATGTGCATTCCTCGCTCTGTTTTGTAAAATACCCCTTATCTAAAGCCATCAGCGAAATGAATGAGGAAAGCCACCGTCTGCAGTTCTGGCAGAGGTAAACGGCCCCTCCCTCTTTTCCTGTCAGCCACACCCCTCTGTTGTATATGGAATTAGATACATTTTCACTCCCTACCTGAAAACCATTGTTTATTTATGAGCATATAGTTTTACCACTGTTTTAGGTGTTAAGTTTATGTTTAGATAGGTTTTATGTTTATGTTTTTTTTTATTCCAATATATTTGTCAATTATCTATCATCACCAGACTATCTGAATTAAACCCCAAAATTAATATATATAATAAACTTATAGAGTTTATTAAATATTATAAACTAATATACTGTATTTAAACCCACAGGTATCAGTCATGAATGGGAAAAAACATTTGATAGATTGAGTGGCTGTCACATGACATAGGCTATTGATCACATAACAGTGTGCCAATGCTGAGCTGGCTTTGGCACTGCTGCATGCGGGGTAGCTTTTAGCTATACCAAGTGTGCACTAAGACCTAAGACAACCTATAACTGAGAAAGAAAGCCATTTAGAAAAAAACCCACAAAAAGCCATGAAAAAAGCAGAAGGAGCAGACAGAAAGAAGAAGAAGAAGAGACAATTGGATAGATATAGAAACAGAGAAGGATAAGACTGACCCCAGTGGAGTGTTGCACCACATTTTTTGTGTGACCCAGTGCTAAAAATATATGGAAGACATTCATTTCATTAGACATGGAGAGTTATGAAAGGCTTATTTCAGAAGAAACTATTTTAGAAATATACTAGCAAAAATGACACATGGGGAAGGAATCTTTGCAGAAATGTCATTGTTGTGTAGTATGCGAACACAAAAGATCCTTTGTCCCTTTGTACTTGAAGAAGAGCTGTCATTTTCTTGTCTTTGTTAAAATCCAGTAATGTGACAGAACTACTGTGGAAATTGTATCATAGAGTCTTTGGTCACACTTTAGATTAGGGTCCAATTCTCACTATTAAAGGTGCATTGTGATACATTTAGGAGGATCTGTTGACAGAAATCCAATATCATATACATAACTATGTTTACAGTGATGTTTCGACCTTATTTTATGAACCGTTATATTTGTATTACTTTAGAATAAGCAGTTTCTATCTACATACACCACGGGTCCCCTTACATTGAAATGTGCCGACATGTTTCTACAGAAGCCGTAAACGGACAAACGTGGTTCGTTACTATGTTGTTCTTTGTGCAAGAAAGCAAGCTAAAGTCAGCGAATAAAACACTGACACAATGATGAAAAAGTAACAATAACATATCGTTTTACTGAAAAATTAAGTAAACATAATTTCTTAATTTATCTTCATAAAGAAACCTCATTGCTGAACTGGGTACCCTCTGCCGTCTCAGACGGCGACATCTGTCGGCTACCGAAATTTTGTTGGTTGTAATTCGTAACCTCACCACTAGATATCGCTAAAAATCACAAACTGCACCTTTAAGTAACTATTAACTACGCATTTCGCCTCAATATACTCCTAATTACTATTATTATAAGTACTAATATCCTAGTAATGTGCATGTTAATAAGCATATAGTTAATAAATAGTGAGAACTAGACCCTAAACTAAAGTGTTACTGAGTCTTTAATAAAGCTGGACACCAGATAAAGTTTTAATATCAGATCCAGTTTTAACATCTTATCCAGTTTTAGCATTAGGCTCCATCTACAGTATCATCTGAGATTTTATTACAGGACCTTATACTGCCAGTATTGCTGGCAAATAAGAATATTACAGGGATTGGATGATCTGGGGACACAAAATTATGCATTTTTATTCATTTTAATTGCATATAGTGTGTGCACTGTGCATGTTTGTGATCTGAATACTCATTTAGTCTGTTTATACATGAGCTGAACAAATATATCTTATTTTGTTGTGTTTTGCAGGCATAAGTCAGGATCTTGACTTGGCTGATGCGTTTGACGATGACACGCCACGTAAGTATGACAGTTATGATGATGTAACCATGTAAGGAGTATACAGCACTATTGACTTGTATTAATTTGTATAAAAGGCATTGCCGTAGTGCCAGACTGATTTTATTTTGCACATTAAATGTATTAACTTTTAGCCATGGCTACCCAACCACCTAAAGTGGACCCAGCAGGTGGTGCAGGAGGAGCAGGTGAGAGTAATCATTGTTTTATGTAACTAATAGCACTGTGACGATAAGCAATCATTGCTGTTAAATGAGCCTTTCAAAATTAAAGGTGAGGTATGTAAGTTTTTTTTTTTAATATTGAAATATTCTCATAATAACCCAGTGTATTGTTCACTGAGTGCTATTAGTATGCCATTGTATGCTTCTAGCTGTGTGGCGCGATGTGATGCTTCAACAGTTGCGTCCAATGTAGACACGTGTAAAAGTAGCCTACATTTACCTGAGACATGCACAAGCACCCATAAGCCCACAGCTGTGTTTGTGATGTTTGAGTTGAGGGAGGCACGACGCACAAAAGGAGTGGCTTCTCACTGCAGAACCAATGGGTGGAGCTTGACGTCCAGCCCCCCCTCACTGGATGAGATGGGGGAGCTAGACAGTCCAAACACACCCTAACCCTACCTCTTAGGCCGTGTGTCCACCAAAGCGTTTTTAGCCAGCTGAAAACGCTAGACGCTCTGCTGAAGACGCTGTGCTTTGGGCGCTTGAGAGCGTTTTGGCAGCGCAGCGTTTTTTCCGTTGAGACGTTTCGTTCCTATGATAAAGAATATCCGCAGTAGTTGAATGTTGTGACAGTTGGTCGGTGTGGTATTAGTCCCGCCCCTCCTCCACTGTGATTGGACGGCTGGGTAAAAAGTGACAGTTATGAGCGCTGCGTTTTATCCAAAGTTGAACATTTTTCAACTCCAGCGACCAGTAAAAAACGCTGGGCGCTCGGCGTTTCAGCGTGAAAAAAACGCTCAGCGCCTCGGTAAGCTCATGGCGTTTAAAAAACGCGGCGCTGTTTAAAAAACGTGGTTTGCAGTCACGTGATTGTGTTGACGCGCGGAACGGAGATGGAGGGCAAGGAGTGAAGAGCGCAATGGACGAGATGGAGGAAAATCCGTACTGTACTACTTTAGACGCTATTACAAGAGAAATATATAAACAGAAAATCGAAACATATGTTGGACGTGATCCTTACGTTATGAAGAGGACCGATTTTCAACTGAATTGAGAGATTTGCCTGCCATGGAGGCTGTAGATATCAGCAACTAACTCGTCTTACAGACATACTTTGACTTTACAAAATTCGGAAACTGGTACGTTACACAAACAGCCACATAAGTGTATTTAAACACCTGAATGATGTAATTATAAGCCACATAAATAATGTATTAACTCACATTTGACGAAATGATCACTGCACACACACAGGCATTTTCCCATTCGGTTGCTCCCGACCGCAGACGTACGTTTGCAAGACATTTTCCCCGGTGTTTTTCTGTCAATTTCTTGTATTTTCCCCCCTTATGAACAACAACTTTTGGCACACGATAAAAACTCCTCGTGTTTTGATCGATTTGAGCAACCATAAACGACGCAAAAGACAGGCATTTTGAGTGTGTTATAGTGCTTCCTAATATACAAAAAAAAACCCTGCCCTCCATCTCCTTTTCGCGCCATGGCAACGCAGTGGCGTGACGTCACGTGAAAACAAGCTATTGAAAACATACGCCAGGCGCGTGGAAAAAAGCTTTGGTGGACACACGGCCTAATAAACATAACTCCAGAGAGGGGGAGACAGACGTCATTTGGCCAAAGGGACGTTGGCAAAATATGCTGTATTTTTGTAATTCTGCAGAATCTACATACTTCACCTTTAAATTGTGATAGATCATCACCTTTTATGACTTTTAATAATTTGGAATTTAAAACCTGATTTAAAAAGTCTGAAAGAAAGATGTTCATTTGTTCAACAGTGAAACCCAGTCCAAAACCTGCTAAGCCCACAGTCAAAGAACCAGCAAAGGCCAAACCCAAACAAACAGGTGAGATGCACTTACCAGTATCACGGCTGTCTGTTCTGCTTGAAATGAACACAAAGCAAATCCCCTGACTGAACTTCTTCAATAAACACTGGAGCTGTTAGCATCTTTGAGTGCTAAAACATAGCTTTATGCTGAGTCTGCAGGACATTTATTCTGATAGATCACAGAGATTTATCTGTAGTTAAAAAAAAACATTGTTTAAAACATTGCATAAAACATATTTTAAACATTGAATGATGCATGCCGTAAAAGAAAAATCTCACATTTGCTTTTTTGCTATTAATTTTGGTGCTCACTAATCACTCTTCGTCATAGGTTTGAATACCCAGCACCCTCTGAATGTGAATTGCTTTACAATACTAACATATTAACCTCCACTAACAGAAGAGACATACCCTGATTTTTTTGATGCCACCATTCGGCCTGCCCTGTTGCCCCGAACAACCCATAATCCTCTCCGAACCTCGGTTGCCCCTCGGAAAGTCCAGTCTGGTGTGTACCGTGCTGACAGTTGCCCTGTAGAACCGTTCATCGTGTTTGTGTCTTTGCGTGTTTGCATGAATATTTGTGTATTCAAAGCTAATACACAAAAATGGCCAAAAATGATGTTAGATTTGATTGAGGCTAGTAAATAACGTGATCATGGATTGTTTAGCATAAAAACAGTTCTTCCGTATTCATCAGAAGTCCCTTCCTAATATTATTACATTATTAAAATAATGCATGCCTCTCATACAGTTTACATCAATGACGTTCTTTAGCCGCTCTGCTCAAGTCATTTAGTTTGTACTCATGTGATAAAAGATAATAGAATTACAGCAGCTAAAATAAGTCACAATCACTGATATGCTGGTGGATGTCAACTCTTTTTAACTCTAACTTTCTTTCAAATTATCTCTGTGTCTTATACCCTAATATCACAGCACAATATGATCACATGGGCATCTTTTGCATTTGTCTTCATTATCATCTTGTCTTGTGACTTTGTGTGGGTTCCATCTTCATAGCATAAAAGTACTGTATGAAGCATTTCAATGTTTTAGTGTGTTTCAAACATATAATATTACACAAAAACATTTGTTTTTCATTGTCACTTAGCTGTATTAAAATTACAATTAGTTCTGCGCATATTCCATTTGTAATGTATTGGTTAATTATTTTGGCTGACAGGTCCTGGCGACCTTGATCTCGCAGATGCCCTGGATCAAACAATGACATCGGAGGAAAGGGCAAAGACTCTGGCAAAGGCGGTATGTATTTTTCTTTTTACTCATGTTTACCTTTCTGGCTTTAAGGTTTCAACACAAATCTGTCACAAAGAAGAATCTAAAATGTGCCTCCTTCAGATAGAACTAGCCTGCAAAACTGAGTTGTGAAAACAACTCGTTTTGATGAATGGTTGAGGCCAGCTTTCATTAGAGAAGACTTTTTCGACATTCTGAAGAGAGATGAAAATTGTGAAATGCTGAAATGAAACTTTTCCTCTCAAAAGGCTGTTACACAAAAGTAAAAAATAGCGGAGTAGGTCCAAATGGCCAACATGACATCATGACTTTTGCGTAAACATACACGCCACTTTCGAGTCAAGTGGCGTGTTATCTCTACGCATTTGAGCTATCCGCGTGTATCCGGGTGTATGTCTACGCCATTAACGTCCGAGTGATTCCGCGTGTCTGTACACGCCGTTAAATGTCCGGGCGAAACGAAGCAAAATGTAGATCTACATCTGGGGAGCGATCTTTTTATTTCCTAGGTTGGTAAGGGAACAGTCATAAATGCCATTAACCCCAGTGACGGGGTTGAGGTAAGTCATATATTTTATATATACAATAATAACATTAAGTCAACGGCGTTCATAAACACGCTGAAAAACGATTATGCGTCTTGATAGCTCGCCAAAAATGGAAATACGAATTGGCGTGTCATACAGACGCTACTTCATGAGATCAGTCTGAAATGGCAGAGTCTGAGAAGACAGAAAGTTGAGTTTAAAGGAGTAGTTCACTTTAAAAAAAAAATTGCTGATAATTTACTTACCCCCATGTCATCCAAGATGTCCACGTCTTTCTTTCTTCAGTTGAAAATAAAATTAAGCTTTTTGATGAAAACATTCCAGGATTTTCTCCATAAAATGGACTTCATTGGGAACCAAACGATTCAAGGTCCAAATGAGAGTTTCAGTGCAGCTTCAAAGGGCTTTAAACGACACCAGACGATGAATAAGGGTCTTATCTAGGACCCTTCGAGTCATGACTCAAAAAAAGATTTGTTCATTTTGATGCAAGAGTTTGAACAGGAGAGTAACAAGCGCTCATCTCAGAACAGAGCAAGGCGAGCATTTGTGCTTATAAAACTAAATGGCCGATCGTTTCGCTAGATAAGACCCTTATTCATCGCCTGGTGTCGTTTAAAGCCCTTTGAAGCTGCACTGAAACACGCATTTGGACCTTGAACCGTTTGGTTCCCAATGAAGTCCAAATTATATGGAGAAAAGCCTGGAATGTTTTCATAAAAAACCTTAATAAACCATAATCTATCATATCACTGTGAAACTCAGGCTACTATGTTTCTAGTCAGCGTGGGTTAACCCAAGCTAGCCAGGCTTGATGTCATCTCCTGTCCCTGGCAGATAAAGACTTCGGAGAAGGGGGCCGTGATGACGGCAGACCCAATAGCAGAGGTGGTGAGAAATAGAGTAAAATACTTCTACCACCCGCTTCCTCTCTTTATCTTCTTGGCTGGAAGAATCACATTTTGTACCAACAAATCAAAGCTGATCTCACCATTATTAAAAAAATCTAATCGGCTTTCTGATTTCAGCACAAGCTTTAATGGATTGAAGCATTAACCTAGTGACCACCATGGGTCCTGATCTCTTGCATCTTCACTTTGCATGGATTTTGAGCTTAATCAATCCGAATTGCTAGTTCCTTTGCTTTCTCTGTATTGTATGTGGCAGTAAGGCTGGGTACAAATTGGATAGCACTTGATTCCTGTCTTGAATCAATTCAATATTCAGTTAGATTCATTCAGAAATATTTTAGGTACATCTCAACTAATGCGGAGAACTGTTATTATTTAACAGAGCCTAAATGCCATTTTTAGATCATAATCAATACTAAAAAAATAAAAATATTCAGTGACCTGCTTGATTATTTAGATTTTGCCTTCAATTTGTAGTTTTATTGGGCTAAAAAAGAATGTGCTTTTAAATTTCGTTGTCGAAATTTAAACATTTAAAAGATTATTCAAAGATATATTACATCATGAACGGGTACGTACAGGTTAATTAAAAATGAAATTAATATGTAATATATTGAATATATTTAGCAAAATGCTCCTCATTAGAGTTTTGTTTTAAGATAATTAACATGCTATGGACCTTGAATGGCTTTCCTTGATGTAAATGACTGTTCCGTGACTTTGTCAAGCTGTTTCACTGACGTCTTGAAACACTGATTAAACGATTACATGAGACATGATATATTTCAGTAAGTTGTACTGTATCTTTGTTTATTTTGTGCTATAACTTGTTATAATCGGTTTCGCTGGCGCTTACTGCTACCGTTGAACTGCATTAAAAAGACCGTCAAAAAGCGCTCGCTTTACGCAAGAGATCGCCACCTAAAGGAGAAGAGTGGAAATAATAGGATTGAATGTTAAACAATAAATGAATGATCCATTTTGATGATCGATATTAAATCTAGCTATTTTTTTATTCCAGCTTTTTTTTATTTATTTATTTTTTTTTTATTTGCCGAGCTCTTATCGACTGCTCAGCTTTCTGTTTCTTGCAGGGTTCTGGGCTTTTCCTCTTTTGGGGTAATAAAAGCTTCACCTTTAGATCTTTGGGTCTGCAATGGAAAGCTAATAGGATTTGTAAACCTCAAGACTGACCCCATGCATGAATGCTTATCGTGTTGTTCCCAAGCTAATTGGTCTTTTCTAATATCTTAGGTAATGAATTTTCAGACGATGACCTTTTAGGTGTGGCCGATGATAAAACCTACAACCCTGATAAGGGCAAAGGTAACTCACATCGAAGGACCTGTCAAATAAGAAACAATGACTAGCCCACTACAGAAGTGTCAATTCAGTGTTCACATCTCTGCAGGTGGAAAACCCGGAAGCAGTATTGGCGGCGACGTGGATCCTGCCGATGAAAATAACTATGGTATGATTGAGTTAAATAGTATTTAGGGATTATTTGAAGAACATTTTATAGTGGCCTATGTATTGATCCCTAGACACCATGGCTGAGACCGGAACCATCGCTGGTATTGTGAGCGCTGTTGGAATGGCTCTGGTTGGTGCAGTGAGCGGCTACATCTCCTACCAGAAGAAGAAGCTTTGCTTCAGCATACAGCGTAAGGAAACACTTTTCCTTCTTAACTGTACCACACAGCTTGTGCACATGTATCATGTGCTCGATCTCTCCACAGAGAGTCTGAATGCAGATATGGTGAAGGCAGATGCCCCAGATGCTGTTGTCGCACAGGAGCCACAAGGTACTGACCCTCGTGTTTATAAGGCCAATGTCTTTTTTTGACTTTAAGCAGCATGCATTTTACTAAATAAAACAGTCACTGTACTATTGGTGTATTGACTTATACTCTCTTTACAAATACATGATAATTTTAAGGAAATGCATAATAATAAAAAGTTATTTGAATATACCCAAATGGCTTTAATCAGCTTTAAATGTTTTATCTGTTCATAAGTAACTTTTTTTCTAGTCTGCATAATTCATTGTTGGAAAATACTTAGTTATTCTATTGTATAATAATTAGGGGTGTCACGATTCACCAAATTCTCGATTCGATTACATTTTCGATTCTAAGGTCACGGTCCAATTCTCGATTTTTATCAATCGGCCAATCAGGATGCTCTCTGTCTTGCATGCGCTTCATGAGGCACACACGCAAGATCTCTCTCTCTCTCTCTCTGCCGTGCGCGCAATACAGTTTGGAGCAGCATGCACACTCACTCTTGCTCACTCTAGATTCCGGGAAATTTTAACTAATTTGCGCGCATCAGGGAGCCGCTCTCAATATGCGGGAGACTCCCAGAACTTCCGCAAGACTGTGGCTTTATTGAAGCGCGAACGTTGTCAACATAACTCACTGGAAATCCCAAAAACTTCCACACCTGTGACTTCAATGAAAGAGGAGGGGGTTCAAGTTCTGTTGATGGGTCTTCTGTATTTGCAGTTGCCATGCTGTCTTTTGAATGGCTGTAGTGAATGACTGACTGACTTGAATGACTTTTGAGTGGCTAAGTTAGAGGAGGTTGACCATAGACGTGTTTTTTCCGCTTGGCAAGCCGAATGAGTGTGTCATGGGGGCGTGGCAGCATCGACGATTGTGAATTAATTTCAATCGATTTCGATTTTAATTCATTTCGATCGATTTCGATTTAACATCGAAATCGTGACACCCTTAAAGCTACACTGTGTAACTCTTTTAGTTTATTCTTAGCTAAAAACACTTAGTTCTTTCAAAAATATATGTGCTCATTAATGTATATTTACTTCGTTCAAGTAATAAAGTATTCTCGTGAGTGTATAATATGCCATTGAAAATACATACGGGTAAGGGGTTCTAATGTCGGTCGCCATGTTGAACCTCCATCTTGAAAGTACATTAGCCAAAGAGAGACATACCCGTTAATTCAAGCTTCGGCTTTCGCGTTTACGTTTGAGTTAACACTCATGGACGAGGTCGAACTGGAAGCCATGTTAATCTTGGACTACATTGGCCACCGTAGGAGTTAAAACGAAATCGGAATTGAGAGGAACAGAAACTAATATTCACTGGAAGGTCATATACCTTTTCACCGCTAGATGGGGGTAAAAATCACACAGTGTAGCTTTAATAATGATATTACGTTATATTATGTTATCACATGCAAATATTATATAAGTTATTTTCCTTCCTTCTACAGTTCAACAAACTCTTCTCCAGCCTCCCAACGCTGAGCCGCCGACAGAGGAAAACGTGGTGTAATCAGTCCAAACTGAAGAGGGCGCAGTTCGAAATCGTTGTTCTCCTATTTGAATGCCACTATATTTCCCAGCAGAGCACATTTGCACCACAATGCCCTTTTTTAAGTATCAATGTGACTGTTGAAATCAACCTTTAACATAGTGTAATGTCTTTTAATTGAGTATATAACATCTGTTTACGTGCAACGATGCTAGTAAGCCTGTTTGCAATAATATTGCTATGAAATGGGAAAACACCTAAAAAAGATTTTTTTTTTTTTTTAGCATGATCTGCTGAGACCCGAGAAATTAAACTTGGATCTCTTTATGGAGCCCATACAAAAAGTCCCACACATACTGCGCTACAGTCTTATTGTTTGTCAGATCAACTCATTCCTATTGTGCAGAAATGCATATTAAACAGTGAGACAACTGATTAATCCAAGGTTTACAAAAACGGCTGATTGGATAATCATTGAATTATGCTTTTATAGGTCAATAATGTGTTTTTCTTTTGTTTTCACAGCAAGACAGGCTTATCAGATTGGTTGTTATGGAATCCGCAAGATGATGAAGAATTTGTGAAGTGTCATTTTGTTTGTTTTAACTTGATCTGTATATATTTGCCTTGCTTTCACAGAGCAATGTGAAAAGATTGTTACACATATATATGCAGTTTTTTGTGTCTTAGCTAACTTTTTACTAGAGTGACTTTTTGAGGAAAAAAAAAATTGACGCTTAAGTCAGAAACTAACCGACAGCTGCTTCCTTCTAAATTGCTTTTTTTTCTTTGTAATGACTAAAATGGGTATAACTGTGAAGATGTGACGTGTGTTGATGAAGAAACTGCTTTTGTGCGTGTTAGTTGGTCGTCAGTTGTTGCGATTCCTTTTTAGGAATAGATCATTTTGGCATGATCAAAATAACTAGATACATTTGCGTAACTTGTGGGTGAAAGTAACCAAAAAGTAGTGTTTTCATGTTAGCGCAATACTTAAGCAGTGTAGTAACTCTCGCATCGCTAATTCTGATCGATTGCCTTTTTTTGGGGATTTTAAGGGATTAATGTGCTTGTAAATCGCGTACCGTTTCCAAGTTTTCCATCAGTGTATCTCTATTTACACTTGTAGCAGTAAATGTACAGAAATGTTTGTGCCCCCCAGTCTTTTGAATTATGGGGAGTAGTTTTTCGCCCAAGCTTAGTGTTTGTATCGTTTCTAGCATGTTTGAGCGTTAGCTTTGAGACTTTTCGAGAATTGTTGCACCCTTCCCAGTTTTGCTATTGCCTTAATGAGTCCCTAAAGCTGCTTTCCCGTTTTGCTAATTTACCCACCCTGTTTGGGTGTGGCGTTTGTGCCACTGAGCTCGACCAGACCCTTCATTTCTTCTGATTTGGAAGGCCACCATCTGTTAGCAAAACTGGATTGGAAAGCAGCTCAGTCCTTACCATCCTCTCCATGACTTGAGATCCTCCAGATTTTCCTGTAGCTGTTGTTTTTCACTGTGAATTCAGGTGCACCTTTGTTACTCCCAACCTAAGCCCTTGCCAATGGTGCTTTCCTTCCCAATGCCTTACCACACTAACATTAGGGAAGACACGCTAGCTTACTTACACGGCACTAACAATCACGATCATTAGAAGGGCTGCCTCACTTGAATGTCTACAAACCAGACGTACCAGGTTAAGTACGTTGTTCCAATTCAAAGGTGTGGTCACATTCGCTGAGCTCCGAAGCAAGCGCTCGCATAGAAGTCAGTGAGAAACCACAAGGCTTTCTGTTGGTCAACATGGCGTATTTAGGTGACAGACTTTAACGCAGAAATCTTTTGATTCATATAAAAATGGCCGGATTTCACCCACGAAAATTGCCGAATAAGGGTAAATGTGACCACACTTTAACACCCCATTGCAGTTTAAACACTTGTTAACTCACATGCCCAACATAAAGTAGATTTACAAGTCTTGCAAATGGTGATGTCAGAAACCCAGCTGCGCAGAACGTTCCTTGGTACTTTCCTTTAAACGGCACGTTCTACCGAGGCTTTTGCACAGTATCTAGGGTGAAAACAGAATGTTAGCTGAATGTAACTTTTTACTGCTTTGGCTACCAGAACAATGTAGCTTTTTTGGTGCTACACTTGTCAGAAATGAAGAACACCAAAGATGAAATGTGATGGTTTTGCCTTTTTGCATGTTCTTTGACTTTGGTGTGAGTCTTGTTGAATGAATTTGAAAGTAAAAGATACAACGGTCTCGTCAAGGCAAGAAATTCACAAGTGTCTTGAACATTTTTGTCAACATTATCATCGGTTTGTGTTGAATTTGTTGCTTGGACACATGGTGTGACTGTTAAACACCTCCCTAATACTTTCAATTGACCTGAATCTATTGAATCTACATTTCTGGCTACTATATGGTGGATGTTTAGTTTGTAAGGATCTCTGGGCTCTCTGGTGTCGTTTGGCCAGTGTAGTTGCAATTTTGTCAAAACAAGGGTGTATGTGCTGAACTGTACAGATATGCATGTTTTGGATTCTAGCTGTAGATATTAAAGTTTTTTTTCTTGTGTACTGGGTTTATTTATGAACTTGAGAAATTGGAAATGAAGTTTCTGAAGTGTCTTGATTTGCACTGCCAGTTTAGTTATTGCATCACGATATTACTGCCACTGATCAGATTGTAATGCTCGGCTTTAATGTGAATCAGAAATATTGACCTTCATCACAGTTTTCAAGTACAGAATGTGATGAAAACACAATTAATTACACGGATATCAACTGGCAATCCTATTCTACACATGATAATATTCAAATTTAATAAAATTTCACTCTGTATTTCATTGGTTATACTTGGTGGTAAAAGAGCAGCATAAAGAAACCCAATAATAAACAGTTTATCTCGTCCTTGATTCCTTTGGTTATTTATTTTTCTTAAATTCAGGATGCAAGGGTTTGGAGTCTGTTTTTTTTTTTTAACATGTAGAAAGAATAACCAGGGTGGCACAAATACAAAAATACACTAATAAAAGAAAGAAAAAAATACATTATAAATTCAGTTTTTAAAATATTACATGTAATTGGCTTTTTAAACATTATATGGCGTTCTCTGTTCGATTGATCAGGGCTGTGTAAAGACTATTTCTTTGCACTCAGATCCGCAAACATGAGTATATAAACAAAAAATCAACAGGGGATTAATATCAGATGTTCCTTATTTACCTTGTAAACGTACATTTCAGTAGTACCGGAAGTACAATATTAGTGCAATATTAGGGTGTGCACATAAAAACTATCAAACTAATGGCAGTATCACAACAGCAATATTCAAATGAATTAGTAAAACCTAATAAAATAATATGAACACAAGACACAAAATGAGTTCATAAGTAAGGAAATAAATGTTATGTGATTTTATTTTTAAATAACTAAAGGGATGTTAAAGGTTGTAGAAGTATTGGCACATAGGCAGGCAAAGCTGAGGCAGTAATGAAAAACTATTAGACAAAAACAGAAAAATTACAGTCACTAAAATAGAAAAGAATAATATAAATTATTAAAAAGTATATTCACAAGTCAAGTTAAAAAAAGTGGCCTATTTTTTCAGAAACTGAATCACAATCAAAAGGTTCTCTGTTTTGAAGGAAGTTTTTATAAAACACAACCGAAATGAAGCTAAAATGTGTGGGAGACTGTCCTCCTTTTGAGTGTTCATGCTAATTTTTACATGTATATACGCTGGCTCTCTATACGTCCTGCATTATCCAGTGAGAAATGACAGATTTAAATATCACATTATCATGTTTACTGTAACCTATAGATTCCAACCACACATCCTGTTAATAAATAATCCTCTCTACTTTGAACATTGCATGTTATGTTACACAGAGGAGTGTAGTGGTGTACCGCCATGTGAGGGAGAATACGCATGATCTGATGAAGAGGAGATTGAGCGTGATGAAGATGCTTCTTTCTGTAACTCATCCACCTTCCTCTGAAGCTCTGCGCGCAGATACAGCAACTCCTTCAGGTTCTGGTGTACAGGCATCTGAACACAAGTCAACACAATATTTCAGTTCCCTCAGTGACAGTTATAAAAGCTCTAGTTGGTTTTTAGTAAACAAGCATGACATGACCAAACTAATTGTTTAAAATGCCTGATTTATGTAGTGGGTGCCCATGTTCATTTTGTTTTCTGGCTATTTCTTGGAACAGAATAAATAATTGAGGGCCAAAATGTAGGTTCAGGAAGAATAAATCAAATGACCTTTATCTATAAATATATATAGTGCTTTCAGTAATAAACAGGGATGCAAAAATTAAACCAATTCTGCTGTAAATCAGCTCTCCAAAAGACAATAGTGTCTTTATTTAGCTCAAATCAGTTTAGAGTTGATTTAATTCAGTTCAATAAGTGCTGCAAAATTCGACAGTTATATCAAAAAGTTAAATCAGCTATAAAGCAGCTCTATAGAAAACAGTTGAAGTTTTGTTCTCATCATATAGTGTCAGTGCAGTAAAATCAATAATATGCTGAAAATGAAGTCTTTTAAACCCCAATTAAGCAAGCCAAAGCCAACAATGGCAAGGAACCCAATCTTAAGAGGTGTTTACATGACACTGTTTTCAACTAAAAAAGTTTTGGCCATTCATTTACCCGACAACAGCTTTTTGGGGGGTTTGAAAATGCAAACTATGGCTTTTGTGGTGAATGAATTCCCCTTGTGGTGCTTTTGAATGGCTCAATATCGTGTTCAGGTGACAGAACATAAACCTGACAATAGAGCTGCACGATTCTGGATAAACAGAGAATCATGATTTTTTTGGTTTCAAATAGATCATGATTCTGAACAGACAAAATAACTTGTAATTTCTGACAAATGCTAATTGGTGCAGTCTATTCAAAATGTTTGATGATTCAATGACTCATAAATAGGGTAGTTCATTGTTTCATTACTGGACGACTCAATGTTTTTTGAATGAATCTCTTGAGTGAATGATTCAATGACGAATCTTAATTAAACAATCTAATCGATACAATCGTTATTTGAAGTGCCATGTTACTTTCAACTGGTTATTTGCTCAATTTCACTACTGTAGACATCAGTGTTCATATGCGAACTATAAAATTTTATCTGTGACCATTTTAATTACTATATGACAGAAATAATGATACTGTGTGGTTGAAAAGAAGCTATTTCATACCTAAACATGATAACTGTTCTAACATTCAACGTTTTTGAAAACGGTGATGTCATGAGTATTACGTGTTCAGTTTAGTCTATAGGGCGCATAGTATTTCTTTACAAAGAGACGTCACCAAATACTGGCCTGGCTGTCATAATACAGCGTTTTTAATCATTTTCGTGGAACTGTATGAACGGAGATTGTTTTGACAACTTTGTCGCCTGTATGCGAAAAATGCAACGTTTTTAGTACAAACATACGCTCAAAGTAACCCTTAAAATTGCTAAAGTGTTTTGCACCTGTGGTCTCATGCGGGGGTTCCAGCGAACGTAGTATCCAGCCCACAGCTCCAAATGTCTTAGACTGGCCAAAGGGTACAGCACATGGTTTTCATAGTCAACATAGAAGGGGTTGGTGAAGTCCTCTGGCTGGCTATTGATGTAGGACCACAAAGACACCGTCTTACTGTTCACTGCCTGAAAAAATATCGAACAATTAAAAAAAAAATTCAGCTAAGAAACATGTAGGTCACCAAAACTCCACCCTCCCCTGGATTGGCACAATGGTACATGCCTTTTCCACACGCTCCTGTTCACTGTTGTAAAGGAATGTACCAAATAGGCAGCTGTAGAGGTGATCCAGGATGGTGACAAGGAAGAGCTCATTAAACTCAAAGGCAGTGGGAAACTGAGAACACATCATAAAGACAGTCACAGTGAGTTCTAATACATCAGTATCCATTTCATGTGAATGCATAGGAATTTGGCTCAATGATAAATCACACACATAACATTGTAAATAGTATTTCATTAAATTAAAATAGCTAGTGATTAGACAGCAATAAAAGGTACAGCTTACCTGTCTCATAATTTGCCAAACACAGTCTATGAACTGCACAAATAGAGGCGAGCGCTCAGAGTTTGCATGATTTTCATCTCCATGTCCAACACGCTGTGATACAGAGAGATGAGAGTAAGATTTTTCTTTTTCAATATTAAATATATAAGATATAATATGATGTATAATATATAAGAAATCAATATTTCTATTCAGCAAGGACACATTAAATTGATCATAAGTGCCAGTAAAAATATTTGTTGCTCAATATTTCTATTTAAAGTGTATCAAGGTTTCCACAAAATATTAAGCAGCATAAGTTTTTTCATCATTGATAATAATAATAAATGTTACTGAGCACCAAATCAGCATATTCAATTTTCTGAAGGATCACGTGACACTGAAGACTTGAGTAATAATGATGAAAACTCTTTGCTTACATAACATTTCACAAAATTACTGTTTTTACAGTTTTTTAGATCAAATCAATGAGTTGAATAAATGAATAAATGAGTGAGCCTAAGGGACATTAACACATTTTTTTACATAACAATTATATTACATAATATAAATACAATATTGTATGTCAGACCTAGAAATCCTAACACACTTATGCCTGGTTCAGATTACACGATTTTAGCCCGATTTTGGCACAATCCGTTTGATGTGGGGATTCGTAAACGACAACGGGCGTCGGGGCGCAAGATTCGATCGTATCATCTCGCATAGTGTGTCATAGTGGGCGTCGACAACCTACGTCGCGTCTGCGATGCTTCACGACAAAAAGACTAGCATGTTTAATTTTTTAACGGTCGTCCACGACGGTTCCGACACATGTATGAGGTTGACCAATAAGAGCACAAGCTTTTCCATATACAACTTTCAAAAAAGACAAAACGAAAGAGAGACGATGGTGCTAAAGTTAAAACTAGAAGTAAAAATAAGAAAACAATATTTTACCTCAAGTTCTCTTTGGAGGATTGACAGCCCACGCAATGGCCGTGAGACACACGCAATTCAACCAGTTCACACACTCACACGCCACACCGTGTATTTCTCACGCTGAAAAGGCAATGCCGAGCAATCCAGGAAGTCACTCGCTACGAGTTTCGCCTTCTCGATGACATCACGCGTGCCGTTAAACACGGCATGCGATGACTGGTCAGGAAGTAACGTGTAGTCTGACATGTGTCTTGTCCACCACACAACAAGATTTTAGGAGTCAAAATAGCGTAATCTGACACAGTGACTATCGTAACAGACAAAAAAAATCGTGTAATCTGAACCAGGCATTAGGCACAGTTCTATCATATCACAGATCTGATTGGCTAAATTCGATTTTTTACCCCCATACATTAGGTTCTATTCCACCGACATACTCAGCATCCCTCACCGCAGCAAACTTGTGTCCGAAGCCGATCCACTCCTTCTCCAGCAGCACCTGGAAGCCCCTGAGAGTCCTGTAGTAGGAGTCCAGCATCAGCATCGACAAAGAGGTGAGCTGAGCTGTGCGGTCCCAGCCATCACTGCAGTGCACCACCACAGAGCTCTTACTTGACTCAACCTTATCTGCAATCCGCACTGCACCCGCAAGCAAAAGCTATAGAGAGAGAGTAAAAAAGATAAGTGCTTTAAAAGCATCCAATTGTCTTGCTTTCTGATTCTGACTCTTCTGGGATACTCGTAAACTTTGAGCAGAACTGACTTTATACATGTGCTAAATCCACTCTGAAAAAGGGTCTCTCACACTGTGTCTACACCAGATGCGAGCGACTACGCCAAAAGCGGATAGAATTCATTATAATCAGTGATGCTGTCTACACGGATGTGGTGCAGTACGACTGACGCCCGGTTGTATTTCTAATGTACTTACTTCTGACACAAACAACAAATGGATCAGATTTGCAACAGTCGCTTTGTCATGTTCAGTGTGGACATTTTCCAGCTGTTGTGGCGAGATGCGACAACGGTCGCGTCTGGTGTTCAGAAAGGCCTTGCATCATTTGTTTGCTAAATATCAGAAATGCTGTTTTTACCCGTATGTACTCCAGCCAGTGTGTGGCATCTATGGCCGAATGCCAGCGAGGTTCATCGATGGTGGGGTAGACCACCTCCTTCAGCTTACGCAGAGACTCTCTCATAACATGAATGTTTGGGATCTCCAGGAAAATCAGCTCCATGCTGGGGTAGAAATTTTTATTCTCATAACCTCCATCTTTAGCCTGAGGCATGAAAGAGCAGAAAATAGGTAGAGAAGATTCTTGGCTTCCATTTTCATCTCCTGACTAGCACAGATGGCTACTGAATAATTCAAATTACATTTGTGGAAAACAACATGTGCGTTATGTGTGATAGAGACACTTAAAAACCTTTTTCCTGCAATTCCCTTCCCTCTGCAACATTGAAAAAAAAAACATCAGTCAAGGAAATCACTTTTACCTTGTGATTATCAGCCACGGTGTTTTGCCGAGCATCAAATATGGTGAGTTTATGGGACTGTGCATTGGCATCCATGATGGTCTGGAGGTAATGCTCATCCTCCTTACACCGGCGGTCTGTCGGGCCCACCATGGGCTGACTACAGCGCACTATCGTGGCCTGGGTTTCTGGGTGGATCCATGATAGGACCTGAAAGAAGACGAGATACAGAAGTCCAGAATGCTTTTAAATGCTCAATTGCCAATCATTTAAATAGTTTTTAGGCTTTTTTTCCTCCCTAGTTTCTATTTTTTACCTATTATAGGTATAAGACATCTGAAAAGCTTCTAGCTTTGTTGACTTCATTAACATCTTTGTTCTATAGTTGTTTGTTTTTCTGCTTACACTTAGCATCTTTGTTTTTCATGTTACTATTGACCACTTAAATAATTACTGAGAAAATTTCACCTTTATTAATATCGACCGGCATCGGAAATTAACCAGGGCTCAGGGTAAAAATGCAATGAAAGTGAAGAAAAACGCCCCACAGGTCTTCGTACTGCCAAAGTGACCAGTAAGATTGGTAATTGGTACGATTTAAGATGAGTAAGATCGGTAAGATGTTATTTGATAAAAAATACAGTAAATCATTAATATTGAAATATTATTACAGTTTAAAATAACTTTTTCTATTTTAATATATGTATTTTAAAATGTAATTTATTCCTCTGATGGCAAAGCTGAGTCATCAGCATCATTACTCTAGTCTTCAGTGTCACATGATCCTTTGGAAATCATTCTAATATGTTGATTTGATGCTCAAGAAATATTTCTTCTTGTGCTTATTCAAATTTTTGTGAAAACAGTTATATGTACAGTATTATTTTTTGATTGATTTCATGAATAGAAAGCACAAAAGAACAGCATTTATTTGAAGTTAAAATATTTTGTAACATTATAAACGTCTTTAAATGTCTTACTGACACACACGCTCACTTACCGGTATACGATGTTTCATTCTGAAAGAGGCCACTCGTTTGATTTCATCCTCTTTAATACTGGTGGGGGTAACAAGCAGAGCAGGGTAAGTGTCACACACTTCATAATTACTGTTGATCTTACTGATCGTCCAGCTCTCATTGGGCAAACCCTGCAGACAGTGAGAAGACAGAAAATGAGCAAAAAGAACTACACTAAGGCTGAATGAAGCAGTTAAAAATTTTCAGTCAGACCACAGTCAGATTTTAGCAATGTGCAAATCTCACCATTCTTTTATACTCTGCCACTGGATCATAAACCTTCCATCCATCCTCTGGAAATTGTTCTTTGTATTGGAAGGCGAATAGGGGCTGGAAGAGAAAAAGGAGCAAATGGATTTGTGGAGACATGAACCAAACAGCACTGGAACCAAGCAATGACGTACCAGCTCATTGGTCAGGGGGAAGGCATGCTTTGTCAACGCTTCTAAAATCTCCACATTATTCTGTTCCTCCTTTTTATAAGCAAACCTGGGACTCCTCATATCCTATTAAGAAAGATCACAGATCATTAGCATGGAGAAATTACAGTTTTGGAGACTGAAATCTGACTAAATTGTAAATCAGATCTATTTTTTGCTTGCATTCCTCTGCGGTTGGCTTGACAGTGTCACAGAATTTCAACACTGAAGTTATTGTGACCATGAATCAGCTAAGACAATAATTACCCCTATAGACCGTCTGTTTACTATAAGTGGAACAGACCAGCATGTGGGTGGATGGTGGTGCATCTGACCTTACAGACGATCTCCATGCCACTAGTATTCTCCCCATGACTCTGTACACCGATAGTCTCCAACCTGCTGATGGCACCCAGGTTCACATCCATTATGAAAGGAGCGTCCTGCATGAATGGAATAAGACATCTGCTTAACTTGAATGTTTCATTTCATTGTGTGGCCATATTACAAAATATCAAGACGTTGATCTTGAAATAGACAAAAAGATGAAAAAAAAATCGTTTGAATCACCCGTTCTAGACTGACAAAGTAGAGTTTGTAGTCTGTGACTGTGAGTGTGCCGGTCACAGCTCCAGTAAAAGGACAGATATACATCACGTCTTTAACTGCAGAGACAGAAGAAAACAAATGTTACCCGACACGAGCAGATACAGGAAACAAGAGTCAACAAGAATGATCCGACATACCAGTGGTTTTGATGGTCTCTCCAGGGACAAGTGGGACTTCATCCATGGGCACTTGTTTTCGTACATCCCTGAATACTTGCTACAGGGTAAAAAGACACCAAAACGTCTCAAAACACAAACAGACCTCATTTTATTACGCTAAATATTAGGTTCATACAAAACCATTCAAAAGGTTTTTTTTAATGTTTTTGAAAGAAGTCTTTAAGGTGCACCGAGGTTGCATTTATTTGACCAATAATACAGTTCAACAGTAAAATTGTGAAATTTTATTACAATTTAAAATAACTGTTTTTCTATTTTAAAATACTTCAAAATGTAATTTAGTACGGTGTTGGCAAACCTCCGTTAATAACATCAGTCTTCAGTGTCACATGATCCTTCAGAAATCATTCCAACATGCTGATTTGGTGTTCAAGAAACATTTCTTATTACCACGGTAGAAAACGGTTGTACCGCTTAATATTTTTGTGGAAAATCTTCAAACAAACAGTATTTATTAAAATAGTCAATATTTTTAAATGGTTACAGATAATGCGACTTTTGATCAATTAAATGCATTCTTATTTAAAACATTCTTACGTTATCACGTTAAAATAGCTGAAACCATGAAGTCTAGGCTGATGTAAGGACTTGACAGAAGAGAGGAGGAGGAGAAGGAGGATAAGAGTAAGCAAGTAGAGCTGAAGCGAGAGGAACTTGCCGTAGTGTGAGACGGCAGTTCAATGTCGCTGCCATCTTCACCAGAGTCCTGAGACTGAGCGGAGGCCGCAGGAGAAATACAGAATATGTGACGAAGAGAAAAAAGGTTTGTTTAAAAGTCCCTGCAGTTTATAAAGAATATGAGGAACAGAAAGAGAAAGAATGCAACAGAGATAATAGTTGCTCTTTAGGGTTGATAGGTCACATCCTCACACAGAGACAGGAAGTGTGATTTGAGGAGGCAGAGAACACAGAAAAAAAATACAGCTGCTCAGCCATCACTGCTACACTAGTACATCTGTGCGAATGCCGACTAAATAATTCAAATGTATGCTCTGATGTGTTTCTGTGGAGATGTCAGACTCTTGATCTTGAGCCTTACCCTTAAGTTTGGCCTCCTTGACACCTGGAGATCACACATAGACATCAGACAAAATGAGTAACAAACACACACACACATTTTAATGAACATGTAGGCACAAAAGCACACAGACTTAACACACGTTAGACTTAATCTTAGCAAAAATGTCATATTTTACTCCAAAAAAATTTAGCTTATTTTTTAGGACCATTGATATGCATTGAGTAACCTATATATATATAATGTAAAAAAATTGAAGTAATGTGTTAATTTTTTTTATAATTGTCAAGTGCACTTGTAAATAACAATGTTAAGTAGCAATAGATGCATTACTGTATAAAAGCGTTGAACTTTTTTACAAAGAATAATACTTTTATACAACGAAGCATTAAATTGATTCAAAAGTGACAGTAAAGACATTTACATTGTTACAAAAAATGGCAAAAATAACAATGAACTGAATCTTTTTTTGTGAGCAGCAATATATTTGCATGCATATTATTCTTACATTTGATAAAAAATGCTTTACATTAGAAAAGAGCAAAAGCTTGTCTATGACGGGCAGCAACAGTTGTATCCTAAAACAGGATTTATTTTTATTTATTTTTTATATGGTGTGAAATATGACGAGACATTTTTTCACTTAACAGCTGGATGAAGCAGAAACGAGGGCTTATGAACAGAGGACAAACACGTAACTGTACGAAAAGACAGTGTGCAATAAGGAAAACATACTAAGACTAAAGCAAGTATGCACAAATAGTATATATAGATTTGGTGTTATGTATAATCTCTAATTTATAACTCAAAGCAGGGCAGGGCAGTGGTCCTGTTAAAGCAAACTGACAAACACCCTACTAGCGTCAATCACCCTTACCCTGAAATCTATCTTCTTCCCAACCTGTCAATCAAAAACACAATATCACAATGGCTCACTGAGACAAAACACTTAACAAAACTGCTCCACATTCATTCTGAATACCATGGTTTCAATTTTAAAATTGATCTAACACAGTAAGACATATTAGTGTAACAGTCAAGTCAGCTGGTCATCATCACAAAACAAACCCATATAATACAAACAAACCCAAAAATAATCATTATAAATAAGTAAAATATTATTTAGAAAATAAATAATAATAACTTTACAATAAGATCTAATTCATTAACATTAGTTAACAAACTAACAATGAGCAAATATTCTTACAGCATTTGTTAACCTTTGTTGTTAATTCACAGTGCATTGACTATTGTTAAAAACTTTGATCTTAAAAATGTATTAGTAAATCTTGAGAATCTTATCTATATCATTTTATTTCATTTTTTTTATTTAAATTATTCATTTTGATCTATTTTGTATTATTTATTTTATATATATATATATATATATATATATATATATATAAGACATGCATATTTTTGTGTCCAAGTGCATTATTTACTTTTATAAAATCATAACATACAGTATATACTTTATTCTATAAAACCTATTTAGTTTGAATTCATTTTAAAGACATTTTATTTTGTAATACATATTGTTTTGTTATTTTAAACCCCCAAAATGTCAGTTGGTGCAACTGTCCAAACAAATATACAGACTAAGAAAACTTTAAAATGGTGTCTTAATAATAAGAAATAAAAAACTAAATACTATGGCATAATTTTAGATTTGACATCTTATAATTTTATATTTTCATATATTTTAATAAATATCAGTAGTTTTAGCTGTTGAGATGACTGAAAAACTTTTGTCCAGCAACTTTATTCTCAAATGTCAGGGTGGCAAACATGGCTCTTTCATTATGAATTGACAAGGTAATAACAGTAAACATGATAATGCATCATCCAGAGGACCCCCAATGATTCTTGTAGCAGAGTGAAAAGGTTAGTAGAGCTCTCTCAAATACTGGTAAAAACTGCTCATTTTAAGTGTGGGTAGGTTTGTACATTTTCCATGTCAGGTGGTACAACTACAGTATATATACATACATCTATTTGGTTGTATTGCCTGACATAAAAACAATCAAAATATGTATTTAAACACCCTTATTATTTATTTTCTTTCACTGTTTTCCCTTAAAACTTCCTTGTGGCCTTCTGGGGGAACCCAGTATAAAAACCCATGTTCAAGACAATACGGGTCTGATTAAAAGTGAAAAACACACCTTGCATTCACGGATGATGGCTTCTGGAGGGACACCACCAGAGATCTGGCTGGAGATAGTGGCCGCTATCAGTTGTTTACACCATTCCACATGAGATCCAGATGGACTGTATAAGGAAAAAACAAGTAACACATAACACACTTAAGCAAGCACTTCAAGACCATGCATCTGCCATTATCTGTGATGATGATGAGAAACTACAGCATTAATGTGCAGCACTGACATCCTGTGGACTAAAGATGACAGATGGTGATATGAGGTCAGAGAAATGTGTCACACAGTCTGATCTTTTAGAGCCGAACAATTAAACGACATATAAGCAGCCTATATTGTACTTCTTCCATCCAGCCTTTAAAAATGATTTTGATTTCACTTCTTGGTACCAAAAGCAATAACCTTAAAACGATGATGGGAAGATGCATGCTGTTTCGGATGGATAGAAATCATTCACAGTTGTAATAAAAATTGCTTTGATTCTAGTATTATTTGAGCAGAAAACTATAATGTACTACAGTACATGCTATAAATACAATTAACGTTAAACTATAATGTACAACAGTATAGGGCAATATTTGAACAATAGGCATGATATGGGGCTCATCTGCCCATCACAACAGGCGTGCCTGTAAAACGCGCGTGCACACCATAAATTGCTTTTTTATCGAAAAGTTCACATATAATCGCACATTCGAGGATAAAACCAAGACATGCACCTGTCTAATGAATCCTCGCTGTCTTGTCGAGATGCAGGGATTCCTCCTCCGAGGATTTGAGGTTTTCGCGGCACCGGCGGCAGCACCGGACTGTCCGAACCCGACGAATGCTGCTGTTTCTCCATTTCCCCTCTTTACGAGCTCCGTCTAGAAAGATGTGACTGTCTTTTAGCTTCCTCCAGTCCGAGAGCTGAATTTCTGTGTTTAGGAAGTCATCTCTATGAGGTTTGTACGTGTGCAGAAGTCTGTGGTTGTCTCTCAGCTTCCTGCTCTGATGCTGCTCGCTCGCTGACAAATAGCGTTTCTTTTTATTTATGTCAAGGAAGCAGCCATGACGAAACCCCCCTCCCGCCAAAACCCACATTTAGAACGCAAGCATAACGGATTACATATTCAGATTCCAAAAATTAAGTACTTGTCATTAGATATTTCATTTTTAAATACTCGTAATCAGACTGGTTATTCTCACAGTGGCAGTGAATGTAAAATGTCTACATTCAGACTAGTAGCCATGAGCCAATCACTGAAAGCTGAGAGCCACAGCATTTGATCACTGCATACAGAAATCATTTCACTTTTAGGAAGTGTTTTCTCAACTTTTAATATTTAATCAACTCCTGACAAACATATTCATTATTATTTGGATCACTTAGTCATTTAACCATGTATTACTGACTGTATTTGGAAGGCTTTTGCCTTTTAAACAAATTAATTAGTACAAATTCACATATTTACATACAAAGCAGGAATTCATCAATGTATTTAATTTGAAACTCTTTACCTAATATACTTACTTGAAGAACCCCCTGAGATTGTATGTTAAGAAGTTATGTCAATAAATGGTCAATGGTCACATGCAGTTAAACACATTTTTTTAAATCTTTTTTTAGTAAGTGGTTTATTTAGAATGTTTTTATTTCAAAATTATTTTCATTTTGTGTGTGTGTGTGTGTGAGAGAGAGAGAGAGAGATTGAATTAATAGCTTTTTAATAAACTCACAAACCCCAGTCTGGAAAACGCTGACGTAAATAAGGGTAACGGACATAAGAAACGTACATGTGTGTGTGAGAGTGTGTGTGTGCATTTGAATAGGCAAAACTGCATATCTATCTATCTATCTATCTATCTATCTATCTATCTATCTATCTATCTATCTATCTATCTATCTATCTATCTATCTATCTATCTATCTATCTATCTATCTATCTATCTATCTATCTATCTATCTATCTATCTATCTATCTATCTATCTATCTATCTATCTTACATGCCTAGTTGCCTACAAAGATATACAAAGATATTCTGGACTGATATGAGTTGAGGTCTCGAGGAAAGGCCTGAACTTTCTTATACGAAAACCGATATTAAACTGGCGAGAGTTTGAAACACAAAAACTACCTTGCATTTCTAAGTCACTTTTCGTACATTTCTCTTCGTACAATTCATTTCAAAAGAACATTTTTATAGATGATTTGTGGCATGCCCAGTAAACATGTTTACTTTTTAGCTCAGGCTTGTCTTTATAACTATCCTGTATCCAGATCATGCCATAGTGATGAATCTGGTAATTAGAGTCTGCATTTTCATTGTAGTCATTGCATGCTAGCAGGTCTTGAATAACCTTTTTAAATGTTATCAGATTCACACTAGGAAAAATAAATAAATAGCAAAGGGTGGTTTAAACAATTGAAGTATTGCGTTTTATAGCATTGGAGCAACCTTCGAACAGGCCGCTATGTCAGAATCAGAATGCCTGGGCGCACAATAATCAGCATAGTCATTTCCATGTGAACTCTTTAAATTAATTTAATCAGCATTATGTACAGAACAATAGCTGGCCAACAAATAAAGGATACATGAGGGAATACAAAACACAAATAGATCCCTTTAAACTATTATGTCTAACTTAAGATAATGTCAGGACAAAAAAAAAAAAAATTCAGAGTGCAGCTTTCCTTCAACCAATCTCATGCACTGAGCAATACGATTGAGAAAAAGAGTTCCCTACTACAGAATCAGATCGTTTTCAGATCTTTAAAATGTTACAAAGAAAAATTAAATGCCCATTAAAAAAAAGAAAATTATATATATAACAACAAATTACCTACAATTACCAAATCCAACCAAAACACTTTTTTTTTCTAATTACTTTCCTTTTTATAAAACTGTCAAATTTTACACTGAATAAAATAATTATATTTTACAACAATAGAACTTTCAACAGTAAAATAGGTTTTTGTTTGAGGTAATTACATAGTTCTGGTACTTGTACAAAATAAAAAATAGATTTCTGTCTTATTCCCCCCCTAAAAACAACCAACCGCAAATGGTTTGTTTGTTTATTGAACTTTTGTCTTGGTTTAAACTTCATATCCTCATTGAGGTCAAAGTCTTTAGAAGTTCAGTTTTCCGAGGCAGCGTAATCGACGACTCTCCTCTATTCCTCTACCCCCGTGTCAGTCACAACTTTCTTGCTCAAGAAAAGACTGAATTTGGAACAGCACAAACACACTAATTTATATCACAGCCACTCCATCTTTCCCAAAAGACTTTGCAGACTATGCTGCGTCTCGTTGGGACCAATACTGTCAGCTCCATCAGAAACAAAATATTTGCTTTCCGTGGCAACTGCATGCCGTTTTAAGGGGTATAACCCAAAGCCACTAACATCTAGGGCCTAAATTGGTCAACTCCCAAACCTCAGCAGGGGAGGAAACAACCGGTCGCTCAAACGCACAGTGGATGATGCTGCCATAAAGAAAAAAAAAAAAAAAAAAAAATGTTTCTCTATAAAATATACACCTGAAAACCTCAAATATGAGTAAAGGCACCAAAAAGGTATCCGTGTCGCTCGCTTAAAAAAACCCTGGTTCTGTTATTAATGTTAAACTAATGTTAATCACTTCAGAACATTTTCCTTCCACATAGTACACTCACATGAGCAGTGAATGACCTTTACGGAGAGAAAAAACAAGACATTTAGAGACTTCCTTTACCTAATGAGGTCAGCCATTTGAGTCAAGCAGTTAAACCTCGCATAGTGACCAATGAAATGATTGCTCTACCAAAGGTTGAAGACCCTGCTTGATACTAGATTGACTGGAGACAACGTAGACTAAAGTTTACAACTCCGTAAACAATACCAGCACTCTTTTAAACAATCTCACCATTGCTCAACATTCAGAAATGTTTTCCACTCAGATCTAGACACTTTACAACCCTGATAACACACATAATGCAACACGTACGTCTGTCTGACTTGATCGCTTTCATTCATCACATGACCATTCCAAACAGTATCCAAGTGGTTTCTGGCACACACACACACGCGCACACTATTTGACTTACTTTGTCCATGGTATGCGGCACGAAAAAACAGCACTGTCACGTTAAGGCTTCTCTTTTCGCTTAACTTTTTTTTTTGCGCAATGAAGGCCGTACTGTGGTTTATTGCATAATTGGTTTGTTACTCTCATCGTCGACATCACTACTAATCATGTTACCATAATTATCACTATTGCTATGTACAAATGTCCAATGTCTGTAACAGGTTGCGAGTGTGATCAAAACGGTGTCTGTAAGTGTGTGATGTGCTGATTGGGTGTGGCAGCATTGGGGGTGGAGCTGTTTGTCAAGTGGGTGGAGGAAGGGGCGGAGTCTGAGAGCTGTAGCTCCTCCAGTTTCTTCAGGTACTGATCCCTCAACGCCAGTAGCTCCTTATAGCGCTGCTCCACAGGACTCTGTTGCTGATAGGCACAAAATACACAAACATTCATACATGTGATGTGACATCCGTGTCAAAAATCCACCAGAGGGCAGCAAAAACACTCTTTGAATTCAAATAAGGAAAACGAATCACATCTGCATCACAAAACATTTTTGATGCAAACAAGATGCTGGATTACTAGTTCTAAGTCGAGCATTATTGCATTGATCTATAATTTGCTGGATAATTATGATAAAAATCTGCAATATAATACTCAAAAAAGGCATTTTGGTCTGTACACATTACATTTGTATGTTTTCATTGGTCGAATTTAATTTGTATACTAGTAAACACATTAATCATTGTTATGACTAATGTGGCAAAATTCTTATGCATGCCAATACTGGAGTGGCTTCTGCAAAACCACTGTGATAGAATGTGTGTGTGTGTGTGTGAGTGTGTGTGTGGGGTGATAAGGACAGTTTGAGTGACAGTTCACTGCAGTGCCAGAACATAATTAAACTGGAGAGAGAGGATTTTCTGCACCGCTGAATCGGGTACGCACACACACACACACACACACACACAGAGATAAACACTCAATCCCACCCAGAGGCAAAAACACCCACTATAAAAAAGATGCACATGCTTGTTCCATCAGATCAGTTTGTATAAATATATACTCCAAATATGTCAGCTTGAACCTGATTGTGAAATGTATGTCCATACCTGGTGCTGTATGCGAGGGTTCCACCGGATGTAATAGGTCACCCACAGCTCTAGGTGGCGCATGCTGGCTACAGGGTAAAGCACACGACTTGACTCTGGTGTGTAGAAGGGGTTTATATACAAGGATGTGTCACTGTTGATCAAAGACCACAGAGACACCGTCTTCGCCCGAACATTCTAGTGAAACAATATGGGGAAAAAATCAGGAAGTTGCTATTTTGAATAAACACTAATCTAATCTATTATTAAGTGAATCTTAAGTATTATATATAATGTACACACATAGCCACATTAAATTACAGGTCATTTAATATACTAGTAACTAAGAATCAGCTGTTAAGATGTTGAATATATTAGTAATACAAATGGTAAGGTGTCAAATCCTCCGGTTAGCAGTAGATAAAGTGAGACTGTGCACCCTAACGTTGTTGCGGCTCAAGAGGGCCACCAGAATGAATGTTTCATCTCCCCAAAGTGCGTTCTACTCCGACTGAGAGTCAGTCAAGCATCCCTTTTACTCATGCTCTACTTCACACAATGAGCAGAGAGAGAAATAAAAGGCAATGTGTGCATGCGCGAGAAAGAAAGCAAAAGCCAATGTACTATCCTACTGATAACAAGTCACCTCAAATAGGCAGTGAAGAAGATAAGATTTTAGACATAAAGAGACAAAGGTGTGATTAAGTTAGAGAAAGAATAGTACAGTGAAGCACAATTGAATAGATCTAGGCTATATTTCAACAATGTATGTATCAGTGATGGATCAATATAGAGTGAGGTTCAAAAGTGAGACCACATAGAAAATCTGAAATCTAATTTAAACCAGAAAAAAAAGAGTTTTTTTTTCCCATATCATGATATTAAATAGTCAAATGTTTAAATAGTCCTCACCATCAAACCTTTACCCATAAAATATATATTTGTAATCAATGAAAATAAAGCTAGCTAAGCTTATGAGGTAAAAATTGTGAAAGTGAAGAAGAGGTGAACATGA